AGTACGTGTCCCCCCACTGCATCCTGGGAGCACCTGAGAGGAAAGAAAGAGCACTTGAGACGCTTGAGGTGCAACTTAGTGAAAGCTGGAAGAGTTCCCAGGGGCCGGAGTTGCACTGGGTGCCGACGCTGGACTCTGTCCATGGAGCTGCAGCCAGGAGTCTTGAGACCTTGGGATGGGTACAAGGGTCCCTGGGGGTCCTGGTGGGAATGCTGGACTTTTTTGACCCTCATAGACCATGCAGACTCAGAAGGATTTGCCATTTTTCCTCCTTCCCAGAGCCTTTGGATGCCTTTGATCAAGTAGAGGATTATCCAAAATGCTGACTTTTCCTGAAGATGACATCCCTGTACTTATGGGACGAGGCTCTGCCTTCTTTTGTGTTTCATACAATAAGCTATAGGTGAGCCAGGCACACCTAGAGATGCACATGTGCTACCCCTTGGGCGACTCCATCCACCAGGGAACTCCCTCTAAAGACAGACAGTTAAGCTAGCTTTCTGTATCTGTGTGCAACCTCAGCAGAACAGCTTTTCACGTCTTCTCTGCCCCTGACTGACTTTAGGTGAATTCTTTCCTGCTCACAGCCACAACCAGAGTCTGAATAGGTCAAGTACTTTTTCTAAGGTCCTTGAAGCTCTGGCCTTCTAAGATTGTATCATCTGGTTGTCCTGACAAGAAGTATCAAAGTTCCAACATCAATTAGAATTTGTATTCTTGGAGCACTAGCCTTGAGTGAAAAGCTCAGGGAGAATGCTCTAAGTTCAAGCTCCTGTGCACGCAGGTGTGCACGCACACAGGCATGCACACACACACAGAATTTGTATTCTTTACTGAGTTCTCCCAGTGTGCCAGGCAGTAATTTAAATTTTCCTTATATAATAATAAAGCCTCAGATCAGACTCAGGCATGGTTTTAGTTAATATTCCTATTTTATAGAAAGTATCTGAGGCACTGGGTGGTTGTAAAACCTTCACATTGCATAGCCAAGAAAAGCCAGCCCCTGTAGAGTCTTTTTTCTAAGTACAGTATAAGCAACATTCCACAGGTCTCAGTGAACCCAAAGGCAGGCATCAGAGCTCAGGGAGACACAGCTGTCGAGTGGTAGAAATGGATCTGGCAAAGGTGATGCCCAGATTCCATCCTGGGGAAATTTTCCTAGATCACTAAGCCACAGGGTGTAATAGTCAGAAAAGGAGGAATTCAAATCTCAAAAGAGGAAAAAGAGTTTAGCTTCATTATTACTTAAATATACAATGAAGGCCAAAATCACATTTACTGTTGCTATGATTATTCTATTGCATTGTCATTATTTATGCAACAGACAAAAAGTAAGCTTGGAGTGGTGAATTTGTTTATTGTTAAACATTTATGAGAATAATATGACAAGATCCATACACTCTGCTACTCAAAGGACTCACTTCATAGAATCTTCCTACACTGTTCCTGAATGGATTAATTATATGTTTACCACAGTATTATTTGCAATGCCAAGAGCACACATGTAAATAAATATTAGTGCCCCAAATAAGAGATTGGGTAAGTAAATTACAGTTTAATACCCATTTTAATATAGCTATGGAATCTTAGGCTGTTATATTTAATGACAGAATGATGTCAATGTCATAAATGAGCCGGGCAGCCCTATCTAAGCTCTCTGTATTTATGATCCTTTTTCATAGAGGAAAATATACAGCATATTAAAGACTGGCAAAAAATGCTGCACTATAATACAACTTCTGGAGCTTTTGTCTTCTCTAATGCCTTTTTAGAACCCAGAACATTTATGGGCCACAGTGGAGGATCTGGGAACACTGTGAGAGCTCTGGGAATTTCAAAGTTCTACAATGCTCTTGAGGATTCCAGAACAAAATGCACCCAGTTGGGATTGTCTTGACTCCTTCCTGCATCACTCTGAGACAAACATCCCCACTGAGCTGCACAGGGTCACTGCGTGAACTTACATAGGAGGGTAGGAGGTGGTGTTCTTCACGAAGCTCCATGGCTCTGCAGGCTGCGGTGGAGCAAACCTCAGGGATCCAAGAGGAGGCTTGGCAAATGGAACTCCCAGGAACACAGCCACAGGCTGCTCAAACCCCCGTAAGCTGACGTACTTCCCTAGGACTTTGCCATGCAAGGTGTTCACCACGGGTGATGAGGATGGGTGCCCTGGTGGAGAGAAAATTAGGCCGATTTACAAGCAAGAGGTAGACTTGATTTTTAGTAAGTTACTTCAGTCATCTAGGCCACAGTTGAATGACCAAATTTGGTATGAGGAAAACCGTCCTTCCTAACAGAAGGCTGGTGGAAGAACTAAATGGAATTAGAAGAAGAGAAACATCAGGTCAGGAATAACTGAATAAAAAGAGATTCTAGGATGAAGTATCTTAGTTTCCCCTTGAGAAGCTTCTGGAACTGGTGCTAAGCTGCATGCTCAGTGAGAGCAGGAAAGAAGTGGCCCCTGTTCTCAGGAGGGATGAGCTCGTAGGAACCAGAGCCACAGACCCCACCTAACCTCAGCTGGGAAGGAAGAGCTTGTGTCCTGGGAAAGGAACCAGGAAGGTGTAACAGGAATCGGATGTGGGGCTGACCTTCTGAGAGCTGTGTCCATGGAGAAGCTGGGACTAGCAGCAGGGGAAGGGAAGAACAAGGGAAGATGAATGGGAGAGAAGATGTAGCAGAGAAAAAAGAATCTCAAAGGTTCAGTCAGCAAAACACAACACCTGGCTGGGAAGGTCAAGTGGGCTCTATATCCTATCAGGTGGAGACCATGGGGAGTAGAGATTAATCCTGGGCGAGCAGGTGCAGAGCAGGGAGGCCTCGAATGCAAGGCTTTTACACACTTGGTCATGGCTACCTCTGGGCCCTTCTCTTGTCTAGCTTCAATATCATCAAGCTGTCACAGTATCCCTCATAGAACATGCTTCCTACTCTGTCACCCTTCCAATGCTCCCCTTTGGATATAGACAATATGTCAGCATCTATCTCAAAGCATGTGGCTAGGAAAAAAAAAGAAAATCCCTGATAGGGTCTAACAGGACAACAGTCAATTAAACTATGTCTCATAGTATCCATAGCTCCAAACTATGGATATTTAAGTTGCTTTTGTGGTTGTTACTAAGTCCTACAATTAACAGATATATAATGTGGGACATTTTTGTCTTACCAGTTTTCTTCTTCAAGATTATGAGTATATCAGACTTGACCTCAAGATAATTTGGGGAGCACATGTGTATCAAGAATAGCCAATAACACTAGAAACTCTTTATAGAATGCCAGGTTACAAAACTATAATGCTGCCTCATATTCAGAGTAAGTCTAGGGCTGCTTTCCCTGTAGCCTTGCTAACTGTGACCACAGCACTGAGACATAAACCCTGGGCAGCATATTTATTCATCATAGTGGCTTTACAGGTTGCTTTTCATTTTTGTGTGAATTTCTAGATTGATTCCTTGAACACTGAACCTTTTTACATGATGACAAAATAAGGAGACGCATACTAGGAATTTTGAAAGATGACTTGATCCTTGGCCAGGTGTGGTGGCAGTGGAAGAGGAAGAAGAGTGAAAACTGTCAGTGATGTGGCTCTGGGGGAGACAGGGGTGGCTGGGAAGACAGTGAGCTAGGCAGGTAGGCAGATGCCACAGGACCTGAGTGACTGGAGGAGGCTGTGAGGGGGCAGGGAAGCACCCACTTAGGATGAGGGTACACACCATGCATGTGGGTGACTTCCCTATAAGAGTAAGTATGAGGGGAGAGAAAGAGCTGAAACTAAAACCAAGAGATGGCACCAATGGAGGCTGAAAACACCCACCAGACTGGTGTCGGAAGACGAGCACAGCACCATGAACCCAGGGGGAAGGGAAGGGGGTGCGTGGCAAGAGTGCTTAACAATGAGAGGTGAAATTGCTAAGTGCATCCTGAATTAGCTCAGTGATGACCTTCCACCCACATTAAGTGGGCAGAAGTGGTGGGAAAGTGTTTGGGCACCGTGGGAGGCATAAATAGGAATGAAGAAGTGACCAGTTATATAAAATGGAATGTTTACATATCAGGCATGTATTGTGCATCCCAGTTCCTTCCCATTAATGTCCTTAGCCTTCCTAGTTAATGGTGGAATCTCCTGCTAAACATATGAACAAACTAAGGATTTGGAAGCTGCCAATACGAACTTCCTAAAGCTAGAAATGGGGTGGCATTGCTGGGGTAATCAGCAATAGATCAGTGTTCTGCTCAAAATTTGGGTCTCCCTCACACTCTGCCAGGCTTCCCCCCAGTGTCATGTGACCAGAGAGAAAATAAATCCAAATGAGGCCTAGACTGGCAGAGAGCTGATACTGGCTTCTCTGGACTCAGGAGGCAGAGGGAAACCAAGGCACAATTTTCCAGGCAACCCAAAGCAAGCACATTTCCCCGTGAGTCTCGATTACTTCTTCTATAATTTGCCACAGGTGTATGTGGAGGTCCCCCACTGAACCTCTGTAATAACCATAGATTCTAAGTGATTTGATACTTTTACCTGAAATAGTTTACTGATTTGGGGGAATCATCATTCCCAGGACCCAACCAATCCAGATCTCACACCATTTACCAGGCTTTTACAACCTAGGCCATCGTCCACCTGCCTTAATTACCTGGAGCCAGGTAACAGACAACCAGAGACTGTTATTATGTCTGGAAGCCCTGCAGTAACTGCGCCTGGCCAGCCCTGGGCCAGCTCATCTTACCTCCTCTTTGCTGCCTTCCAGGCTTAACACAGCAAAGCCTCTTTCATCAGTTCCTCTCTGCCTCAGCCTCCTGACGGCTCTGGTGCTTCTGTTGGGCCCCCAACCTAGTCAAGCTTTGCTTCCTCCTCTTGGGAACTGAATAACAAACCCCATTTGCAGTGACCAACAGCTTTGCTCGGACTTTCTATTAACAAACTGCATTTTAAACCGAGTGCCATATTTACCCTTGCTCCTTACCTCCTCTATACCAATTACCATCCTAAATACTATAGATGCAACATTTCATTTCAGCCTTTCTGCAGCCCAGGAAGGAAAGAATTACTCTCATACCTATATTAGCGATGGAGTAGCCCAGACATGGAAAAATAGGTACCTTGGCCTAGCACATCAGGTGGGAAATGCTGAACTGTTATTCAGACCTCTGCCACTCTAACTCTGGCTCTTAAGTGAATGCTTTTCTTTTTCTGTGAATCCTCTGTAACCAGATCTGTCTAGAATACAATGAGTTTTCTTAATTCCTCTTATTGAGACATGAGGTTATTTTAGTTCCTTGAGCAACACCAGATAGCTGCAGCTTGGGGTCTGCTGGCATTCCTCCTGCTCTGTGCTTTCGCTGCGCTTGCCTGGGTTCAACTGCTCTCGGTGCATATCCTGATCCAGAAAGAGAACAGTGCTGCAAACTAGTTCTATGTGGCCTCACTCAGTCCACATCACTATCCACCTTTGCTCATGACCAGAATCTCCACATTTGCACCCCCAATATTTGAACTCCAGAGGAACTCACCCCAAGCTGCACAAGCAGTGAGAGAAGCCAGGACCAGAGCACAGAGCCACATCTTGGAAGGATCACAGCACTAAAACCAGCTAGGTCTCTGCTGCTCCAAGGAAAGGCACTGATCCGGTGGCCTCAGAGCTGGAGTCTTGCCCACGCACACACCCACAAATCCCGCCCACCAAGCCGAATTGCATAATCTGAAGTTATTTTTTTTTAAGCTATCTCTCTTCCAAAGAGCTTCTTGAGAGTCCTTCAGAGCTAGGAGCTACAAGCCATGCCTACCCAGAGTTTACTCTCTTTTATCTGAACCCAAATCTCAAATTACAGATGATCACAAACTGGTCTCACAACTTCTTATATAAGGGCTTCTGCTTGTGGGACTCTAACCTCAATGTCCAAGGACAGGCATCAGCAGCCAGGCACCTTTGGCAGGGTGAAGCTTTGGCATGGGGTTATCATAACAAAACTAAACATTTTAGGGCATCTCGAAGTCCTAAAGCTGTTCAGCTGCAAATTCAGATACCTCTCTAATATCAGTCCAACTTCCTAGGACTGGTGTTTCTTTTTCTTTTCTTTCTTTCTTTTTTTTTTTTTTGGTCCGGCTGTGGGGCCTGAACTCTGGGCCAGGGTGCTGTCCCTCAGCTCTTC